AACTAAATTAACCTCATATTATTTTGTTAACTAAATATCAATCTGTATCCCAATTTCACAAATTCTAGATAATTATAAGTGAAATATGGGTTTGAAACAATAAAAACAACAATCAATGATAAAAATCTACTTTATATGGCAAAGTTCAACAAGATAGCTTCATATATTTTAAGAATATGTTTGCAAAAGTAAAACTATCAATTAAAAGTGAAACGTGGATAAAGAACACGTTAAAAAGTAAATTATTTGAGACAAGTCAATATTTTCTCAATTAAGAAGAGTTAGAGCGCTTCCATAAAGGGGTCTCGAACATAAATTCTCCAATTCCTTCGTCTTGTACAAATGGTGGAGTCTCAGTCATTCTAAAATTCTCGTTTCCATTGTTTGTATCACTTCTATTATCATTTCCACTGCCATCATTTTTATCACGATCAAGATCATCAAAATGTGACTCATCTGAAAATAGTTTTAAATTTCAACGTTACATCATATACACTTTAATAACAAGAAGAAACAATAACATCAGTCAAACAATTACCATCATTTTTATCATTTTGTATAGTACATGCACCCAAATCACGACGAAATGTCCCAAATTCATCATCTACCAAATTTGGTGGCTCCTCCTCTAACACCCAGTTACCACAAATGCCAAATCTTTTAAAGTTGATAGGATCATAATTTCGCCTCTTGAAATAATTCCTAAACAAAGTTTACTATTCAATTTATAAATAATCAAAATATAATTCTAGTAAACGAAAGAAAAATCTTAAAATTAAAAAAAAAATCACAAAATGATGAAAAAATTTATTTAAATAACATTATTTTTGCTGCAATCGTAAATTGTAGTGAACATAAACAAGATCATTAAGCTTTTGATGCTTGAGTCTATTTCTCTTTTTAGAATGAATATGTTCGTACATATTCCAATTTCTCTTGCAACCTGGAGAACTATACGTTTTACCTAATACTCGAATTGCAAGTGTTTGTGTGTTTGGTGCACTATTACCAAAACAAAGAGGAAACAAACTAGAAGTATGTTATAAAAACTAAAATTTGAATTATATAACATAATAAAGTACATAACATGAGAATAAAAATTTACCAGGTGCCATTCTATAACGATCAGCAACAGCATATAAACGTCCAAAGTCACACCATGTATTTGCCTAGATAGTCTCATTTCACTAGTCAAATTGTTTATTAAGTCAGGTTAACTATAAGCATATCTCTCGATTACATCTAAAGGTCCCAAAATAGTTTATTTATGATTTTCCATATCAAGATTATTGTATCGAAAAGAAGGGTTTAACCAATATCCAGTGGCATGGAGATTCTTATGCAATTGACTATCTCATCGATTCTGAGTAATTTGAAAATAAGGAGCAATTGTATTATTCCTTCTTTGAAATATGTGTTCCATCTCACTTTTTGCCACATGACTTCATTACAAGTAGCCCATCGAAGGCTTTTCATCATTATCCACAATCTGTAGAACACGAATGAGTGGCTCAATAAGTTGCACAATAGTAGTATACTCTTTCCAAAACACATAATCAAGTACATCATCAACAAATCTTTTTTCCTTTACATTCCTTTGCATATGTTGATAAAGTCCAACTATCTACTATAATTGTACAACCACTCGTCTTCCACGTTGAATGATAGCTTTCAACATAATTATGTACCTCTTCAACCGTTTTAGCCAACAAATAACCATGAAGACTATGAAAGTTTGAACCTATATAGGCAGGGACCATGCTAGCTATGACATCTATACTTTGTTTATAACACACATAATTTACAGCATTGAAAGGAATACATGGATTAATCACCATTTCGATATAGTGAGATCGTTTTTCTCTATAGCTTCTTTATGCTCTGAAGAACACTTTTAATAGTATATTGATTATCAGGTTCTGTTCTTGGCATGAAATAAGAATCAATTCTTTTTTGTTCTTTTAAATGTTTAGCTCCCATTCCTTTTCTTTGACTTTTCTCAATAGCTATACCATTTCCTTTATAACTAGGAAGGATGATCTCTTGAACATCATCATCACCCAAATCTATATACATTTGCTCTTCTTATTCCCGATAATAAGAGCTATGTGGGTTATACTCATAAGAACTTCTTGAGTTTTACGCTTCTTTGCAGCAAAGATGTCC